GTGTGAGTCCAGCACTGGTGGTTATAGAGTAACTATACATAAATCCCTTACGGAGCCCAGGCCCCTGTGCTAAGTCAGTCATCTGCTAAGTGGACAGGCATTTGTGACAGCTGCCTAGTTGCTCACCCAGGCGGGATCCATTATGTTACCTCAGCTGGGGGGGCGGGAGGGGTGGGACAGAGTGGCAACCAGCCAGGGTGGGAGCACAGCTACAGATGACTTAAAAAGAAAAAGATGGAGACCTCAGCAGTAGTTGAAGAAGAGCCCAGGCTCTATAGAGGTTCTCAACATCTGCATCACTACTCTGGGCATGCTGCTGTTTTGCATGGCAGCGTTTTCAGCCAGGGGGAGAACTTGGGGGCAGGTGTGGGGCGGGGGGGAGGGGGAGGGAAGTTGTGATTCTGTATCCACAGAGTGAGTCACTTGTGGTGAAAAGGCAGAAGCAGCCACTATCTGCTTCATAACAACTACTGTTGTTGGATGTTGAGTGGAGATACAGAAACCAGGGTACATGTGCGGGAGGAAATGGTCTCCTGCACTGTAGGGTAACAACATTTGAGACCTTGGTGATTCCCTTCACAAAAGGTCAGGCTGAGGTCCCAGGGGTTAGGTCTCCAGGCCGAGGTCCTGAAAATGCTGAATGGGGGAGCTAGAACCCAGCAGTCACGCCTCTAGCCATAGCCCATTGCTCAGGCTTTAGGATCTACAGACTGCAAGTAACAGTCCTCCTAGCAGACCTTTATTTCCCGTGTCACCTCGATTTGTGGGTTCATGTCTGAAGGTTTGTGATTCCATCTTGCAGGCTATGCTGTGTGTGGCCGCACAGACTGGATTGCACCACTCCAGGGAGTGTCTGTTCACACATGTAGTTACCTGAATGGTCACCTTGTAGTTGGACAGTGTACAACCTGCACATCTGTACAGAGCAGCTCTGGTTATGTGACTGAATTAGTGGCTCAGTGATGTCAGGGCAGCTTCTCTGTGGCGTTCTCTGTCTCTCCCTGTTGTAAGATGACTACTGCTGCTCTAACTTTATATTGTCACATATCAGCATCTAAGAGGAAAGGAAAGGTGGATAAAAAGAAAGCCTTCTTTCCAAACCATGCTCTTGCTGAGGGTGAAATCTTTTCTGGAGCATCTAATAGACTTCTCTAAGATCTTTCTGCCTAAGGATGGGTCATGGGGCCACCTCCAGACCAACTGTTAGGCTCTATGAAAGCAGGCCTCTACTGGCAGGTACATAGTGTAATGGGTGTGGGAAAATGCCCAGTGGGATCTGCATAGATTGCTACACTGAAGATGGAGTGACATATTTTAACGTGTATGATACTGCTGAAGGGAAAAGTGAATGTCAGAAAGCATTCAGAAGACAGGTCACAGGTCATTTGAAATGAGCAATTCACGTTTACTTTCTCTGTATTGATGGTGTTGATGTTTACCTCTGCAGAGGGTAGAAACTCTTCTGGGTTTGCCTGGCTTGGTGAGAAGCATGCCTTTCACCTGGGGGAAGTGTAATCTCTCACCATAACTGTTTGAGCAATTTTCCAGATTTTCCATTAACAGGTTCAGGAACTCTGGAGTGATTTTGTTTTCTGGGTGAGCAGTCTGGGGCATGTGCACTTCCCCATCTGTTTCTGGGGCGGGGGAAGGAAGAACAGATAGCTGCTTTTTTAAACACGGAGTAAGAGAACAATCCCCTTCCTTAATGTAACATCCAAACTGATTTCTGAGGTGCACAACCTGTGAATCAGGAAGTTTTAGATTGGAGGACACAGAAATATAATACTATTGTGCTCTAGGGACTAAAAATTCTCTGTAGCTATTTGTGCGTGAAAGTTGTGTTAATTAAATATGGTGAAGTTATACAGTACCCAAAGGACCCTGGGAGTTACTGTTTCACATCTCAGGGGAAAAAGGGAATCCAGGAGCCCAGACCAGGTAGATGGAAGCCAAGGAGATGATGAATCAACTTTCTGGTAACATGTGGGTGCCTGCTGGGGAGAGAGTTGTGAAGTGTGTGGTTCAGACTGTACCTGTACCATCTCGTGCTTCCCACAGTCACGGGGGCATCGTGAATAAGGGCTGTAGATAGGATGCTATTGCCAAAGAGTAGTCCCAGGAACGCCCCTCAAAGGGTTTCTAGTGTTATAGGTGATCCTCAGAAAAAGGAGTCTTTGCAATATCCCTTACAAGGATGAAAAATGAAATTTCACTGACAAAATTTCCTTTCAGTGGCATTGGCAAACTTTTGTTAGGACAAAGGGCTTTACCTCCTCCGAAGCTAACAAAGAATATAAAGTGAGATTTCTAAAAACTGCGCTGACCATTAACCTGTCATGTGTCTTTAGAATTAGAATTCTCTTGAGTGAGGCAGTATCTCTAAGGTTTCTTTCTATTTTTCCCAAGCCCTTAAACCTCCTGAGACAATGAACAGGAAGAGGCCATGGAGCTGAGTACAAAGCACGGCCTTCTCTCTGTAGCTAATCCTTGGGGCTCCTGTAGTAGAGCTCTGCCTCTCACCCTCTACCCCCTTTTCTCTTGACTGGAAGGCTTGATAGGATTTGTGAGAGAAGACCCAGGATCCTGAGCCTGAGTGGGGACCAGGAACATGACCTATTAGTATGGCAGATGGTTGCTTCTTTTGCCTTTTTTGGCCACACATGATCCAAAATGATGGCCCTATAGTTGGACAACCAACTGTAATCCAGTCTGATAAAGGTACCACCGAGCGGGAACTTCTGTGACCGCTAAGGTTGAGCCTATTGGTTTATTGCTGAACAGTGATTATGGAACTGGTTGTGTCTGGGACAGAGTTGAGCTACTCTTTCTGGGTCAGCTTCAGAGATCAGGCTTGTGGGTCAGTGGTCCTTTGATGAAGCTCCAGGGTAGAAACTCTGTAGACACGGTGGTGGTGTGAGCTCCTGTGTATGCAGCCTGGTATGTTTGAGGATGTTGGAGTTAGGCAGCCTGGTGTCAGGCTGGAAATCCCAGGCCAGCATGGATGCTGTAGGGGCAGGGGATGTGGAATAGGGAAGTGGGAGAGGGCTAGTCTGGGGGCCGTAGTTACAGACATCTCTCCTCCCCTCTCATACAGGTTCCATAGGAACAGAGCTGTTATTCGGATCCTGTCCTTCCTTGGCGCTCCCATGCCCAGGCTTGCTTAGCAAGGAGATGGAGCCTGCTTCACAGGTTCAGCCTCTGATTTGTATTAAACTGACCCTGAGGTTATAGAAGGAAAAGTCAAACAAGCTGTGCATGTGAGAATTGCCCTCGTTATAGAGTATTCATAAGATGGATCTGGTGAGGATGGTGACAATATACCCAGAGAGGAAAGGGTTTTGAATGTTTGCCAGTCTTCCCATCTTTTCCATGCCACCTGTCACAGAGCAGTGTGGATAGAGTTGCCTTCCTGGAATTGGGATTAACGTCAAACTTTCATATAAAAGCATCTAGACATGTTTCTTTCACAGTTAAAAACAATGTTAACATTTAAAAAATGTGCTCTAGAGCACATTGTGATCTGTCCATGATAGGAGTTTTGGGGTTATATCCTCAGTGCTTGTGTGACAACCCTCCCCGCCCCCACCCCCCCAGTCCCTGACATCTGTGAAACTGGATCTTCTTGGTTTAGTAGCAAAGCAGACACTGATTTAGACATGACTGTTGAATTCGAGACATAAGAGTCCCAAATTAAAATGTGTAAAAGTGTTTCCAAAAATTACCAAATAGGTGAGTTGCACAAATTCTAAGGGGAAGAGGTCAATTTATATGTATAGGAGGGTGTACATTGTCTCTTCCTGACATGGCCAGTGTTTGGCTCTTTTTAATTATCCTTGTATTCCCGCATTCTCTATGTTTATTATTTTTAAGTTTGTCTAAGTGATCTCCACCCAGTATGGCCTTGAACTCCTGACCCTGATATCAAGAGCCACACGCTCCTCTCAGCCAGCCAGGTGCCCCGCTAAGTTTAAATATTCTACAGTATTTGGGAAATTTTGCTACTCATTAATTTCCTAAGAGCCTTGTTGCCTAGAGTTCATCTGCTTTGCTTTACTTCATAGTTCTTAGAGAAATAATTTCTTTCTTTACACTTTTCCATCATGAGGGGCCCCGGAAGGGAAGTCGCCAACAGGCTTCTCCTCTGTAGCCTTGTCCCCTGAAGGAGAAGGACATGATCGGTGTTGTCATTTCTCCAGGCTTAGTTGGGAGGTGGTGGGAGCCTGGAGATGGGCCTGGGTTTGCTAAGAGCGGATGGCACACAATCTGGAGTCCTAGGCTAGTCCCAGCCAGCAGCAGGAAGTCCCACTTCATCATCTACTTGAAAGCTCTCTGCCAGGAACACAGAGTGAACTTTTAGTTTATATTGGTTAAGCTCCAAGGAGCAGTACATGTTTGGGGAATTGAAGTGCTCACGGGCAAGTCCAAGGAAGCTACCCTGCCCCACCAGATTCCCAACCATCTCGACACTGATAAAATGCAGCAGTGACCCAGAGCTAGGAACTCAGGGGAGTGGGCAACACTGGTGAAAGGCGTACACTGTGTAACATAAACACACTTGCGTCAACATGCAGAATTGCAGGCCAAGTGCTGTTTTTGTTGTCCAAGGGTCTGGATGCAAATCCTGATTCTGCCTCTTGGGAGCATGATTTGGGATGTTAACCAGCACCTCTCCGAAGTCCTTTCTTCACTTGTAAAATGGGAGTATCAGGCTTCCCTCACTGAGCAGGTGGTTATGAGATTCAAGAGAGGGACTGTGCATGGACTCTTAAGCAGCTGTTAGTTACTAACGATCATATACTTCCAATGGAATGTTATTTACTGAATCCTGTATCTTTGTAATATATCCCTAGACCTATAAGTGACAATTGGTTCTTTTTCTACTTGTACAACAAGTAAGATTTGGCATTGGGTTCTGGGGAGTATGAATGAGTGCTTGGAATCAAGTTATGTGAAACACGGTTATGTGAAAGATGTCTCAACCTCTCACTTTGTTTGCCCAGCAGTGTGCCATGTAAAAAGTGCGTGGTGGTTGGTAATGGAGGAGTTTTGAAGAATAAGACATTCGGAGAAAAAATTGACTCCTATGATGTAATAATAAGGTAAATATATTTCCTGCTTGCTAACCTGGAATTGCTTTTAAAAAATACGGTTCCCTATTTTAGTATGACAGTGTTTTAAAGGAAGAGGAGTTGCTTAGATATGTGTAAGTCTATTATATAACCGGTCTCTCAGTTGTTGGCTACAGTAGGCCTAGATTTCAGGTCATTCACTCAGCAAATATTTATGAAGTCTTAATATGCCAGGCACAATTCACCTTAATATGCTGGGCCACAGGGGATATAGCAGTGAATAAGCACAATGTTCTTGCTCCCTGTGGAACTTCTATTCTAATGAAGGGAAGCAAACTAATTAAATAAATAAGGAAATGCAATAACAAATGCCATACAAACAATGAAAACACCTATGATAGACAAGGACTGAACAGCTGCTTTAGAATGGATGACCACTTTGAGGAGGAGACCTCGAAGATGGACCCAAGTGAGTCTATAGTACCTGCCACATCAGAGCCATCCAGGCATAGAGAATGTTTAGTGCAGGTCCCGGGGGGAGGATATGATCATGGGTTTGAGAGGAGCAGCAAGAAAACCAGTGAGGTAGGAGGGCAACAGTCCCGGGGAGACTGGTGTAATCAGAAGCTGAGGAGGTGGCTGAAGGAGCAGGCTGTGTAGGACTGATTATGGAAACGGAGATTAGAATTTGGACAACAGGAAACTTTTGAAGACTGTTTTTTAATGTTTGTTTATTTTTGAGAGAGAGACAGAACATGAGCTGGGGATGGACAGAGAGAGAGGGAGACCCAGAATCTGAAGCAGGCTCCAGGCTCTGAGCTGTCAGAGCCCGATGTTAGGCGTGGACTCACAAACTGAGATCATGACCTGAGCCAAAGTCAGATGCTTTACTGAGCCACCCAGATGCCCCTAAAGATTTTAAAGCAAGACAACAACTCGATCTGGTTATGCCTTTAAAATACCCTGGCTGAGGGTGCCTGGGTGGCTCAGTCAGTTAAGCGTCCGACTTCGGCTCAGGTCATGATCTCACAGTCTGTGGGTCCAAGCCTCACATCAGGCTCTGTGCTGACAGCTCAGAGCCTGGAGCCTGCTTCAGATTCTGTCTCCCTCTCTCTCTGCCCCTCCCCTGCTCATTCTCTGTCTCTCAAAATAAAGGCATTAAAAAAACAAAACAAAACAAAAATACCCTGGCTGTGGCATGGACAATGGAATGTGTGGGACAAGGGTAGAAATGAAGAGGCCAGTTAGGTGGCTGTATTCAAGCAGATGATGGTGGCTTGCAACAGGATTGCCATGACAAAGAAGGAGGTAAGTATAGACTGAGACATGTTTTAGAGGTAGAGTTACCAGGATTGCCATGACAAAGAAGGAGGTAAGTATAGACTGAGACATGTTTTAGAGGTAGAGTTACCAGGATTTGTTGATGTGTTAGATGTGAAGAGAGATGGGAATAAAGGAACCAGGTACCTCCTCTTAGGTTTTCAGCTTAAGAGACTGAGTTGGGGGAAGACTAGAGTGGGAACATGGTTAGAGGAGGACCAAGATTTCTGTGTGAACACAAAATCCCAAACAAGGTTTAAGATGCTTATAAGATTTTCAGTGGTAAAAACTGGTCAAGTAGGCAGTTGGTTAAACAGGTTAAAGCCTCATTGGTAAGCAGCTCGTAAGCTGGATTTAAACCATGGATTGGACAAGATTACCCAGGGAGAAAGAGAGAGAAGAGGGCCCAGGATGGAGTCTTGAGGTACCCTACACTTAGATGTTGAGCGCAAAAAAAAAAAAAAAAAAAATTAGAAGAGGATCTACCAGTGAGGTGGAAGTGTTAAACGGAGAAGAGGCCAACTGTGTCCAGTGCTGGTGAGAGGTCATGCAAGATAAGGACTGTGAGTTCACCATTAGACTGGCGACTTGAAGCTTTACTCATTCTCTTGACAAAAGCAGACTTGGAGATATGATACAGGGAGTGGCCCTACCCAAGTGGTTTGAGGAGAGAATGACAGGTGAGAAAGTAGAAGCATAGGCAATTCTCTTAAGTTTTGGTGTGGTGTTGAGATACGAGATGGTAGCTGGACATAGTTATGGACTCAAAGGAGGCTTTTTTGTTTTCGTCCTTTTTAAAGATAGGAGATTCTAGAGCCTATTGGTAAACTGAAAGAAATGAACAGAGATTGGTGTGGTAGAGGGGATGGGTGCAGAGTGCAAGTGTGGCTGGTCCTCTGTAATGGAAATAAAAACTTGGATTGTGGTTATGACTACCAAGAGTCCCACTGATGGAGTGGTGGAAGAATGAGGACATTTCCATCTCCTATTTTCTCATTGAAAGATTGAAGTAAGGTGATCTGGGTGATGTGTTGTGTGTGTTGGGAATGACTATGAATAGTCTTCTGAAGAGTGGGAAGGCTTCACACTTTGGCAGTGCATTAGGCTGACCTGACCAAGAGTTTCCACATTGTGAAGTCCCCTTATTTTCTGTTCACTGTCCATTTTGAGGAAGCTGTGAAAGTTTATCCACACAACAGCTTTAAAACAATTTTTTAAACCTGTAATTGTCTAAACATTTGATCAACAGAACCACAGCAAATCCTTATGGGAGAATGCCACGGGCACGGCATTTATGCAAGTCATTTTAAGTGTTATTAAGACTGTCCCTGACAAAGGGTATTTATCCTTTAGGGGACACTGTTTTGGAAACAAAGCATTCCTTTTAATAGGATGCCTTCATAGAGTATGCATAAATAGTGCATGTCTAACTTTGGCATTGAACATGAACAAACCCAACAGTAGATCCTCTGTGGTTCTTTAGTTCACTCTAGCAGTGACATTTATTTGCTTCTGCTTGTGCATTATACAGACATTTTATATTATTTATAATGGAGCACAACAATCTTGATGGGCCTTCAAATCACTTTCAGCGTGATTCTCACCTGTCAGTCCACATGTAATGTGGGGCAAGTAACTGTCTGGACTTCAGGGCCCTTACCCAAGGGGTTTTGTTCTGAAGGTCCTCCAAGTTCTCTCTTAACTCTAGTATTCTGTGGTTCTCTGTTCCCATTTGGTTTTATTTAGTCTTTGGTTTTCCTGGAGGTCAGACAGAATTAGTAGCAGCCCTACAGTTAATTTTCAACATTTCTGCCTTTGATCCAGCCAGCTGTCTCATGAAAGGGAATGATTTCCTCAGCTGTTATGCCTTAAAAATCGCGCATTTGCCTTGTAGTTTCAAGCAATGGACTGATGGCTTCTGCTGTTGGTCCTTCCTGCTCTGTAAGCTCTGAAACTGGGATGGAATTGGCTTCTACTGAACTCGGTCTACATATCTTGTGTGTTTTACTACCCACAGAATGAATAATGGTCCTGTTTTAGGACATGAAGAGGAAGTTGGGAGAAGGACAACCTTCCGACTTTTTTATCCAGAATCTGTTTTTTCAGATCCCAATCAAAATGATCCTAATACTACGGTGATTCTCACTGCTTTTAAGCCGCTTGATTTAAAGTGGCTGTGGGAATTGTTGACAGGTGGCAAAATAGTAAGTTGGCAAAATTGATCTGCCTTCTGATTACCTTCAGTTTTTTTTTCCATAAAAAAAAAGACAACCGAAATGTTCTATTTTCTGTTTTATTTCAGAACACTAATGGTTTTTGGAAGAAACCAGCCTTAAACTTGATCTACAAACCTTATCAAATCAGAATATTAGATCCTTTCATTATCAGAATGGCAGCTTATGAACTGCTTCACTTCCCAAAAGTGTTTCCCAAAAATCAGGTACGTATTTTTCCTGGCACAGTTTCAAACTAACGATCTAGCTGGGTGGGATGGAGGGTTCCAATGGCTCTCAGAAAGGATGAGAGCCATAACTCCCAAGGTGGCTTCTGAAGGCCACATCTGAGGTAGTGAACTTAGATATCTGTGGCTATTATCTTTATGTTCGGGAGTTTTGTTTTGTTTTGTTTCCCTGACCTTGTGGAGACCTTCTGGGGTCTCCTGCATGCCTGAATGGCTCATTTCTTGTAACCTTGTCTTCAATATGCTGCAGTGAGGAGAGTTTGATGGGGGGAGAGGCGCTGATGGGCCAGCCATGCTCAGAGTAGCAGGAAGGGGTTCAGGACAAGTATGTGGCTTTTCAGGCTAAAAAGAATTGTCTGAAGCACTCTGATAAAAATAGCACCACAAAGCCCAGGAAAGGTGAGGGAAGGACAAAGTAGGTCAGAAATATTTCTGTGGTCACAGAGGAGACACCGGTACTGAATTTGAAGGGAAGGAAAGGTGGTTGAAACTCCAAACTCTTTAATTAAATAAACGGAGTTTCACATTGTAGTCCTTTCGGTTATGTTCCCTAGAAAACAATACTCTCCAGACCCAGACAGTGGCAGAGACCAGTTTTTCATTTGAAGCTTGAGATACTGTGTAACATAATATCTCAGCTGAAACGAGGCTTTTCCTGTTGGTAATGAGGGGAAATCCAAAGAAATAAACACACATCATGTATCTTTAGTATGCTAAAAAAAATTTCTAAAGTCTAGAGTTATTAGATTCTCATGCTTAAAATGAAACAACTTACAAGGAATACATATCAAATATATCTACTTATATTTATATTCTAATATATGAATTATGTATATATATGAAATCCTCCTTCTCTTTCCTCTATAACTCTTATTATCCCTCAAGCTTTTTATTTTGTGCCTTTATATCTTGACTATTTTCTATGCATTTACAAACACTTTTTTCTTCAATATATTGCCATATCATAAATATTTTCTGCCATTTCCCCTCCATTTAATTATTCTCTTATAGACATTTCTGTTTGCATCCAGCTTTCTTTCTCTATATATTATGTAGGAATGCATGTGATTCTAGGGATTTTCAGTCCACTTGTGTGATTTCTTAGGATAGACTCCTACAAGTGGAATTCCTGTCAAAAAGCATACATTTTAAATTTAAGCCTTATTTCTTAGTAATTTTTGAAGCGACAGATTCTTAGCGGTTTCTTACTTTTGAGGGGAAAACACCATGACTGAATGTGTTTTGTGTCTTTTTAGAGCTCTAATTTAGCTCTAAATTTTCCCAAGATCAGATACAACTTTTATTTTAGGTAGTGTCTCCAAAAGCATAGGGTGACCCTTATCTTAGAGAGGCTCTAAAACTAGTTGTAACTAAAGTTCTAGTAGAACATGGTGTCCCAGAGGCCAAATGAGGACATAGTGGTATTTTAGAGGGATCAGTTATGTGGGATGCCATCCGGAGGTTGAGTGCAAATGCTAAACAATGGTTCTGGAAACATGGAAGTCCTATTGATGATATAGACAAGAATAAAGAGAAAACCTGCTTGACTTAGGTTAAAGAGAACATGGACATGAGCAGGTGGAGACAAATCTTTAATGGACTTGTGCTAGAAAAGGGAGCAGAGAAACAGTTGAAAGACACAGATCAAGAAAGGTTGCTTTTGTGGTTGTTTTTTAAAGAAAGATGGCCATGTTTATATGCTGAAGGAAACGATTCAACAGAAGAAAATAATGAGAGAAAGTGGGTAATTATAGAAGCAAGCTTGTTGAGAAAGGGATTGGATGAAAGAATGCATTACTGGCGAGGCTGGCCATAGATAGGAACAGAGACATCATACCCACATAAGAGTGAGCGCTGAAAATATAGGTGAAGATGAAGGTAGATTGGGAGTTGGGAAGATGGTATAGCTCTTCTGTTTCTGTTAGTAAAATAAGGATTAAATTATCAGTTTTATGTAGAAAGGAGGCTGGGGCTGCTGAATTTAAAGGTATAAAAGTGTTATCTTGGAGAGTAGGAGTGGAAATTTACTAGGGGAATACTGAACAGCCACTTGACTTTGGCCATAAGTGTAACCTCTTTCCAGACACATACATTGTTTTCTCTTGGCTTGTTCTGCTGCTTGGGTGTGGATTGAGCCAGAGGTAAGATTCTGTCAGGTGATCATCTATTTATGTGGGTGATGGGTGCAGAAAATGGAAAGTCTGCATTAAGGGAATTGTTCTAATGATGACTGAAGTACTCTAAGGCATGAAGAAAGGAAGTAGAGGGCATGAAGGGGAGGGAGAAAGTGATGGGATTAATGAGGTTGGATGACTCCCAGGTTTTTAACCCAATGACTAATTTCCTTTTCTAGCAGATGAAGGGTTGTGGTGGTCATAGTAGGGCAGAAGGTAAAGAAAAGCTTATTCCAAACGCAGTTAGGTTTTCAGACAGGCTTGCCTCTGTGAGTTTATTTGCTTTTATTGTGCTTCTTGGATTTCTTCTCCTCCTCAAAAATCATAATACGTAATACCAATGGAATCTGTAAGTAACACTTAATCAAAAGGAAATCTCTTTAGACTATTGTGTTAAAAAAGTTTAAGATGTATTTTGTTCTTGCCTTTGAAGGTCATCCTGGTAAGAATTGAAACTTTGAAAATTTTCCTGTCAAATACGTGACTCCATTTTCAGGATATAGGTGTATGTGAAGAGGATGCTTGGTTTCCTTTTTGTTTTTAAATTGATAATGATCCACTTGAGACTGTGACATTACTATGTATATATCTGGAATTTTTATTTTCTAGTGAGCGTCTTTAACTATTTGTCATTGAAGTTACTGGATTAAAGTTAGTCTTTCCCTACAGCTAAATTACTAGGATTATAAAATAGATCTAGTTAAGGCTTATGTGAAGTTTTTCACCATGATGATTCAATTAGTGAATTAACCATCCTTACATTTCATAGATAGGTTCAAAATTCACAGGCTATGCTTTTTCCACAGGAAGCCTGGTTCAGCGTGTTTTACAAAATAAGGCAGCAGCATCCTTTTCCTTGAGCCTCATGGGGTTTCTTCATTTGATAGTTGTCCTCTGGGCTAATATTGTGGTCAAGTTTTATTTGAAAGATTTTCTAAGATTTCAGTCACACTTTCTATGCTTTTTCAGAGTTAGGATATTAACTGGGGTTTGGGCCTCAGACATGATGAGGATTTAACCTAAGTACTTCTCACCTGATTAAATGTTCACAAGTCCTGGTTTCATAAGATGAGGTCACCTAAATATGCTTTGGAAACAAGCTTTGGATTCTAAAAAAAAAACTTTAATTTCCCTCCCCAGAAACCCAAGCACCCAACAACAGGAATTATTGCCATCACATTGGCTTTTCACATATGTCATGAAGTTCACCTTGCTGGATTTAAATACAACTTTTCTGACCTCAAGAGTCCTTTGCACTATTATGGGAATGCCACCATGTCTTTGATGAGTAAGGTAATACATACCCACTTGGGTATAATCTTTCATCTTTAGAGTTGGAAAGCCCACATTTCCTCCTCTGTCATTTTTACTGAGGGAACAGGCTTTTAAAGTTTGAGCTGCCTAACTCTATACCAAGAGCTACCAAGTGCTGAAACTGGGACTTGGATCCAGGGTTGTTAGTACCACAGCAGTTCTAATTTGTGGGCCCTAGACCCTTGGGAATATGACATAGTTATTCTCAAGTATCACCAAACCCATATAGGCACCCAGCCTTAGATGATGTTTACACTATTGATATATACATATGGGCAACTTGGTATACATAGTAATCAAATTCACTTAAAAGCACTGCCATGAAACAGGGACACTCATCCATGTAAGAGGATTGAGCACTGAAAACACGGGTGAAGATGATGTATCTTTTTTTAGTTCTGTAGATGCGGTTTATAACATTTTAACTCCATGAAAGAATATTCATGGTCAAATAGGTTGCAAACCTTTATAGTAGATCATGGTTTTCTTGAATTAGAGATCAGTGGTGGTAGACAGGATCTTTAAGACTTTTTATTATTATTTTGGAGAGAGGGAAAATTCTAAGCAGGTTCCATGCTCAGCATGTGGCCTGACATGAGGCCCCATCCTATGACCATGGGATCATGACCTAAACAGAAATCAAGAGTCAGATGCTCAACCAACAGAGCCATCCAGATGACAGATGATCTGTAAGACTTTTTAACAGAATGGAAAGGAGTTGTCTTAGTGAGGTTAGTGGCATATCACTAGTGTTAGGATTAAAATGTTATCTATACATTTTTAATATGAAGAATGAATGGTTCGCTGTAAATGGATATGGATCTATCCTATGTAATCAGTTCTCTTACATCATTATCCGCAAACACTACACAAGCTGAAAAACTGGCATTATTCTGGTTAGACGTTGGTATTCTATTACCTCACCTCCCAACCCTTGTGAGACAAACATTGAGTACTTCAAGAGTTAGGTGCCTGGGACAGACTTCAGGATCACTTCTCCTTAGCCCTAAATAACACTGAAACAACTTTGTGAGGAAAATTAGGATATCCATCAATAGTACAAAACTCTTTTAAAAATTACCTTAAACTGAACCGTGCTTTACAAGTTTATCTCTAGGCTGATTTCTCTTAGGAGTTTCAGGTGCTTTTATTAAAATGATGAATGCATTTTGAATTACAATTTTGGTATCTAGTTTCATATCCCTTTTAGAAAGCCAGGAAATGATACAAGGGGGACTTTAAGTGGAAAAGAATGGGCTGCAGGGAAGGCTCTAGCAAAAGAATGAGCAAAGAATAAGGTAACTAAAAAGTCTACCTGTATAGTTGTTACTTGAGTTTTTTAATGCAGAAACTTTTTAGATACTGTGTATTCTATTGTTGCTTAAATTGGGATAGATGGTGATTTTATTATACTTTGCTTCTTTAGAATGCGTATCACAATGTGACAGCGGAGCAGCTCTTTTTGAAGGACATTATAGAAAAAAACTTTGTAATCAACTTGACTGAAGACTGACCCTACAGACTCAGAAGACGATGCTAACAGTATTAGTTTTATTTTTATACTGTAATTTTTAGTTTATTTTTAAATACGTTGGATGCACTTGTCGAGAAATTGTGTATATAAAGTGTGTTGGAGCCTGGTGATTCATAACCACCAGCTTAATTTCTGTGAATATATTTAATTTATAAAAACCAAGATATGTTTAGTTGAGATATCAGGGAAATAAGTTTTGAATGCATTGTTTTTAAAACAACCTAGTTTTCTCAAGTGTTTTTAAGCATCATTTTATAGTTACCTTCATCTTAGACTTTCGAAGGGATGTGACTTCCTAGTAAGGGGATTTAGTTTAGTTTACCACAACAAATTCTGACTATGGCATTTTGAGAGGCATATTTGTTGACTATAAATTGCTGGGGACTGGGCACGTAGTTGTGCCTTGATACGGCAAAATGGAACCTCTTTAGCTGTGCATCTAGATGATTTGAATCTTAAGAGTAGCCCTGACCACAGCAGTAGGTACAGTTATAGAATGTAAGATCATATGGTCTCATGAAGCTTTTTTTGTCTGCAATTAAGTAAACCATGATTATTAATGAGTAATTTCATAGAAGGAAGATGGTGTTTTGTTTTTAAGGTGAAGGAAACAGGTTGAACAGAAATTCTGGATAATAACGTAAGAATGCAATTACTAAAGTCTGGTGACTGCATTATTTTTAAGTTCATACAAAGAGCTGGGCTAGGCAAGCTCAAGGAGACCATTGTTAAACATCATTTTCTGCCTTTTTAATATACTAAAATTTGAAAGTTTACTATTGGAATTAAATTAGGAAAGAAGACGACACAGTAAGTAAACCCTTAAGATTCAAAGCTGTTTTGGGATTTAAATGGTATTTTCATGAAAAATTTCAACTGTCCACGATTAAGTCACATCTTCGAAGGGAAGGCTTACCTGGATAACGGTGCGTCAGAGAAGAATCCCATCAGATGCAAACAAGTCAAAACCAGTCCAGCAGAGGTGGTGAGCTAGTCTCCCTTCTCATTTTGGTAAGGGAAGGGTATGGGGGTGAGGGAAAAAGAATGAACAGAAAAGTTATAGGAGAGATGGAATTAAAAGTTCTCAGGAGAGACAAGAGTTGAAAGAGATGCGATCTTGAACAAGAACTGCCACTGGGGACCGCCCTGCCTCTCTGGAGTTTGTCAAAGGGTGAACTGTTAGAGCAGGCACAGGAGTAAATACATGAGCCTAAGGGGGAGGAAACTAGTAGTTGATTGAACCTAGATCTAGACATTAAATATGCCACCAGCATGCTTGCACAGTGCTAGAGTTTCCTTTGATTCCCCCCAAAACTCTGAACTGGAAAAGATGGGGATTAGTGTGACCTTTTCCTCACACCATAGAGCTGCAGTGTGCGAACTAATTTAGGCTTCAAAAAAGGATGGTGCTGGTTCTAGTGAGAGTAAAAAAAGCCCTGGTGGCATTTTCAAATGTTTTGGTAAGGACTAAAATAATGGCAGTACAGCCTGATGCTAAAATTGAGGGATTTGGCATTACATGTAGTATGAGAAAAGGCTACAAACCTTGGGTTTTATTTAAGCCAAAAGAAAATTCTCAGCAAGACACATATATACAATTTATTAAAAACACATGAACACATTAAAATCTCACTATTTATACAATCTAAATTCTAGCAACATATACAAATACTGAGTGACTACAGTACATGCCGAGGTAAGAAAAGTACATTCTGGGAGAATCATTGACACTCAAACCATTTTTATTTCTAATATGTACTTCAGTACTGTTTGGTTCCTACCTTTCCCAGTGCCAAAAACTAGTCACAAATTGGAGTAAATAACAAGCGGTGCCACAGTTGAAAGTATTTTAATAACCATCCAACTCTTAATCAATTTTGCAGTTTAGGGACTTCAAGTTCACAACAGAAAGGCAGAGCTTAACAAGTTTTTGGCCCACAATCTATTCTATCATCTGACATGGCATTTCCACAGCCCTTTCACTCTCCAGGTGACAATGTAGAGCCAAGGCAAGGAAGTTCAAGCTTTCTCACTTTCCACAGAATTATGGCCACATTCATATTTAAAGGAGTGCATTTTCTGTTGGGGCATCGTAGGACAAGAGTATACATAACACCGTAATTCCAAGTGCTGTATAAATTCTCTACACAAACCATTTCATCAGCGGATAAACCCATTGTTCAATGCAAAGTGCAAATAGCGAAACATGAATTTAAATAGCTGAACTAGACCCTGCATATACAAGAGGATCTATTTAGTGTTACAGCTTTTAATACAATACAAATCAGCATTCACAATACTGGTTCTGAAGATCATGGTATCAGAAGTCAATGTGATTTTAGGAAACTTGAAGGGCCACACTTGTTGTACCACTGTCTGACTCTATTTTGACAACTGTGCTAATAGGAAAAAAAAAAAAATCCAATAAACCAGAGTGACTTAAGTGTCTTTTTTTAAATGTTTCAAGCAAAGAATAAAAATTTAAGGGAATTTTGAACAAAGGTTACTTTCACATTTTGGTACTTGATTGTCTCCAAAGCTGTATAGATATCAGACATAGAAATGTGGTTAAAAAAAAACAAAAGCAAAACTCTAACATGAAAACAAATGAACTCAAAAGCATAAGATCAGAACTCTGAAATCAGGCTCAGTTCTTCATTTAGAAAGTAAAATATATAAAAGCAGTAAAAAAAAAAAACTTTTGTAAAAATCACTGGTAGTTCAAGGACAGCACAGTGGCAAAAACGTACATCATTTAGAAAAACATTTGCCTCTCAAAGTTCCATGGGAAAATTAGGTGCACAAAATTAAATAAAAAGAAAAGCATCTTTGGGAAAATGAAATAGTTTCTCTTAAAGCTTCTCAAACAGGAATAAAAAAATAAAACTGGTTTACTCTCTTCCCACCCAGAAGCAGGTAACTGCCTTAATACACGGCTTTACATATTCATGTTTTAATACAAGTTCAACATTGGTGCTTTTTGTTTCAAATATTTTGAAACAATATGTATTGGTTTTTTCAATGAATAAAATTATGCAAAGTTGTCTGGAAAAGCAAAAGCAAATGAAAATGACACCAATCACAAAACTAGAGGGCGGAGAGGCTGCAGCAATAGTTGTATTTTGGAAGCAATGCTTTAGAATACTGATCTATCCATGGAAGCAAGCAGAAAGAATACGGTCTTTCTCAATCTAGCATATTCTGGAAACAATTTGGGGACACGAGCCAAAAAAACCTGCTAGAATCTGATAGGAAATTACATATCAATATTAAGTCTACGTCCTGGAATTTATAGAAGAGTGGATGCCAAATTATATGTTTTAATCACAGGGCCAGCTTCTCTTGCCAAAAACATTGAAAGGTTCTTACACCAGAGACTCATCAATTGCAGATGATTTTCATTTCACCCATCTAAAACTAGTCCTGGGCAAACAGTGACAACAAAGTTGCCTGGGAGTCTTACAAACAAGACCTAATATTGCAGACTCAGACGCTGGAGCCACAGGTTCCCTAGGTATGCTGGAAAGGACAGTTCGTGCCTCCCCCCCTACAGATGAGGGCACAGTCACACACAGCTGAGGGATCCACGTGGGCTTATATTTCTTTCAATATCTTACCGAGAGTAATTAAAAATATTGACCAAAAATATGACCTTTAGACTCATATATTAAATCAAAGAGGGCAAATTGTTTTTTTAAGGTAATTTATGATTTCCAAGGAATGATTTTCACCGTTTTCACTGTGGTATAAATAAATACAAGGGGGTCAGGTTTACGGTATTCACGGAGATGTCCTCAAGTTCTCACAACTCGCCCTTTGCAGATAAAGTCAGGGGAAGGGAGAGAATCTGTTACAGCTGTGTAAAGTTAGAGGATTCATGAGGTTGATGAAGCAAGCGTCACTCTCTAAAATAACTCAAACATTTTATAAACACAAAAATGGGGCTGGCCCCAGAGTAAGCAGGGCTGAAACCAGCTCATGTACCATGAAATGTTAAAGCTCTTAAGAATGTCAAAAGGTGAAAAATCCATCACCTTGCTCATTACAAGTCAGTTTCCCACCTATAGATCCTCCAAAGGAAAGACAGATGAGTGTACAAGTACAATCAAAACAATGATTATATCACTAATTTTTGAAAAAAATCCATAAGGAATATAGGAATAGAGAGAAATCTTGATAGTACCCACCTTTCACAAAGCAAAATTTCAAGCCATTAGACATTTCAAGAACAGTACCGTGCGTTATTGCCAGTCTGGCTTACACAGCCATCTCTTGAGTTCATCAATGTACCTGCAGCATTGGTAATAAATACTCTCAGTGATTCTTAAATTTCTTTGAAGTGCATAGTAGGGAGTTTTTTCTGTATTAAAAATAGTGTTTTACAGTAGTAACAAAGAGGATGTTTGAAATTTAATAGGCAAGCAGTAACTGCCACAGTAACACTTTTAAAGCAAGATGGCAAGGCTAGCAGTTCCCTGTACCTCGGTCATCACATTTTCCCAACCACATCTGTGACAGATACATAATACATTCTATATATTACTACCACTAACACACAAAAAAGGCCATGTGCTTTAAAACGATGCTTTATAAAAAGCAGCATCACCTTCAAAGAATTTCTTTAAAAACATCACATTCAGCATCCCTCCCAGCTCCTGATCCCTCCTGCGTGCTCTGTGGTACCTGATACACCAGTTCGTCTGGGGCACTTGGACCTGGCTTCCCACCTTTTGGGGTGTCATACTGGACATGGGCAGAGGAGCAGCTGTCAGTCCTGGAGAGGAGCGTGTTATATGCTCCTACTACTGGGGGGGCTTGGTTCCCTGTAGCTTTGAAAGTAGACGTTGAGGGCAGACCAACAGAAGCTGCAGGGTGCCCGGACATATCCATGATGATGGGGGTGGCATATTCTGGCCCAGTGATGGGCAGTGGTTCAGCGTAGGCATGGTAAACTTCTTGTACCGGGGAGTTGTAAGGATCTAAGTCAGCATAACTCGCTTCGTTTCCTTCTTCTGGTTTAAAGGTAGATCTCTGATGAAGGGTGCCAACAATTCCTCCCACAAGTGGCTGTGCATACTCTGGGGATACGACAGAACAAACCAAATGAAAGTTACCTCATTCATACAGGGATCGTTTCACTTAGGGTGGCAGCTGTACCCTTATACCAAAAACAGATGCTTCTTTAGAGTACTTTTTTCACTATCAACACAGACCTAGGGATTTCTCTACAAGAACTTCAAAAATTAAAATTATACATGTTATCTCATAAGAAGTTAATATGCATAGAGCTTCAATCATGAAATTTTACCCAACTGTCTGTATACGCTCTTCAGGTTTAGAGACAGTATTTTACTGGTGGGGGAAAAAAAACCCCATTCCATTATTAGAATAATATTTTCAAATATGACACTGTTTAAACTATGGGGCTCCTGGGTGGCTCAGTTAGTTAAGCATCTGACTTTGGCTCAGGTCATGATCTCATGGTTTATGAGTTCGAGTCCCAGACTGGGCTCTCTGCTGTCAGCATAGAGCCTGCTTCGGACCCGGTCTCCCTCTCTTTGCCACTCCCCTGCCTGCTCTCTCTCTCAAAAATAAATATTAAAAAATTTAAAAAATAAATATGTACTAAGTCAATAGGATAAATACTGTAAGGCTCACTATGTCTTTCTTGCTCTTGACACTCAAAATTCCAGGTAAACAGATAAAATGCCCTGTTTGCTTTTACAAAAAGGTGCTCATATCTAAGACACAGAAATGATTCACTCAAGGTCACCTTTTTAAAAAGTAGTCATAGGGGCACCTGGGAGGCTCAGTGGGTTAGGCGTCCAACCTTGGCTCAGGTCATGATCTCACGGGGTTTGTGAGTTCGAGCCCCACTGGGCTCCGGGCAGACAGCTTAGAGCCTGGAGCCTGCTTCGGATCCTGTGTGTGTCTCTCTCTCTCTCTCTGCCCTTTCCCCCCTCATGCTCTGTCTTCCTCTCTCTCAAAAATAAATATTAAAAAAAAATTAAAACGTAGTTCTACCTCAAGAAAGCAGCTCATCTCTTACATATGAAAAAGATAAAAGATACCATAAATCCCAAAGCGCTTTCCAGCTAAGCACAGCATTGGCTTCCCCTACTCTGCGGCAAAGGCTGCGAGCAGTTACCTGCAGAGTCCGTCTGCAGCACTGTGGTGACTTCTCTTGGACTCAAGTGATTAACTTCACTGCTGCTGTAGCGAACTGGGGTTTCCTCATGTTCCACTGATTTGGCAGGGAGAAACTGCTTCATTCCTTTCCACCAACCTTCATTGTGATTGTAAGCAATAAGGACCATTAAATTAAAACCTAGCTCTGAAAGGATGATACTGTTTATGGAAGAAATCCTGTTGCATTTAAGGCATTTTTGTAACACATCTATACAAACTAGCCTCTATGTTCAATCTTCTGGCTGTTGTGACTGTGGTAAAGTACATATTGCACAAAATTTACTATCTTAACCATGACTAAGTGTGGGTCAGTTGGTTTTAAATACATTCACACTGTCGTGCAACTATCACCACCATCTAACTCTGTCATAACTCTGAGTCTTGTAAAAAAAAACCTACAACTCTATCTCCATGAAACAGTAACTCCCCATTCCCATTCTCCATTCCCCCTGGCCCCTGGCAACCACCATTCTACTTTCTGTCTCTTTGATTTTGCCTCTTTTAAGTACTTCATCTAAGTGGAATCATACAGTGTTTGTTTTTGTGTCTGGCTTATTACACTTCGCATAATGCCCTCAAGATGCATCCATCTTGTAGCACGTTGCAGAAAATCTTTCATTTTTAAGGAGAAATAATATTCCACTGCTTGTATACAACATATTTCCCTTTTCCATTCATCAGTTGATGGACACTTGGGTTGCTTCCATGTTTTAACTGTTGTAAATAACTGTGCCATGAAAACAGATATAAAAACAGGGCTTTGAGACCCTGCCTTTAATTCTTTTGGGTATGTATCTGGAAGTGGAGTTACTGGGTCATATGGTTATTTTGCATTTTATGTGGAATTGCCTTAGTGTTTTCCATAATGCCTGAACCATTTTATAAGCCCAACCACAGTGCATGGGATTCTAATTTCTCTACATCTTCACCAACTCCTGTTTTCAGGGTTTTTTTGGTAGGAGACATCCTAATGGGTGTGAGATGTGATATCATAGTTTTCATTTAGTTTTCCCTAAAGATTAGTAATGTTGAGCATCTTTTCATGTGATTTTTGGTCATCTATATAGATTCTTTGGAGAGATGTCTATTCAAGTAATTTGCCCATTTTTGACTTTTTTGTTGAGTTTTAGAAGTTTTCTGGGTATCCTGGGTATTAATCCTTTAGCAGATATATGGTTTGCAAATATTTTCTCCCATTCTGTGTGTTGCTTTTTTACTCTGTGGATAGTATATTTTGATGCACAAAATTTTTAAATTTCCATGAAGTCCAATCTATTTCTTTTTTTGTTACTTGTGCATTTGGTGTCATAGCTAAGAAATCATGCCAAGTCCATTGTCATCAAGTTTTTGTCCTGTGTTTTTCTTCCTATTAATTTTATTGTTTAAGATATTATGTCTCGGTGTTTCATTTGAGTTAATTTTTATAAATGATGTTAAGCAGGAGCCCAACTTCATTCTTTTACATGTGAAAATCCAATGTTCCCAGCACCATCTGTCATCGATCCTAGTGGTCTTGGCATCCTTGCCAAAAATCATTTGTCTATATTTGTGAGAGTTTATCTCTGGGCTCTCCATTCCACTGGTGTGTATGCCTGTATTTATGCCAATACCACAGTGTTTTGAAATCAGAATGTGTGAATCTTCCAGCTTTATTCTTCTTTTTCAAGACTGTCTTGGCTGTTCAGAGTCCCTTGAAATTCCACAGGCATTTTTTAATGGATTTTTCTATTTGTACAAAAAATGTCATAGGGATTTTGATAGGCATTGCGAATGAATCTATAGATTGCTTTGGTTACTACTGACATGTTAATATTAAATTTTCAATCCATGAACACTGGGTATGTTTCCATTTATTTATGTCTTCTTAAATTTCTTTAGAAATGTTTTATCGTTTGCATTATACAAGTCTTTCATCTTCTTGGTTAAATTAACTCCTAAGTATTTTATTCTTTTTGATGTTATTTTGTAAATGAAACTGTTTTTAGAATTTCCTTTTCAGATTGTTCATTGTTCATATATAGAAATATGCAATTAATTTTAATATATCCTTTAGTATATATAGTATAGTACATCTAGCTACTTTACTCAGTTATTGGTGTTAATAGCTTTATGTGTGTGTGTAATCTTTAAGGTTTAATTCTTTAGATGTTTGGTAGGATTTTTCTTTCTTGAGAGATTTTTGGTTATTGACTCAATCTCTTCTATTTCTTTATGAGTCTTGGGAGATTTTGTATTTCTGGAAATTTGTCCATTTCATCTAGGTTATGAAATTTTTTGGCATACAAATGTTCATAGTATTCTTATAATCCTTTTTATATCTGTAGAAGTGGTAGTGATGTCTCTACCTGCATTTCAGATTTTAGTAGTTTGAATCTTTTTTCTTATTCCATCTAACTAAAAGTTTGTCAATTGTGTTGATCTTTCTGAAGAATTAACATTTGGTTTCACTGATTTTCTCTATTTCCCCATTCTCTATTTTGTTTCTCTCTCCAATCTTTACTAATCTTTATTATTCCTTCCTTCTGGTAGCTTTTGGTTTAGTTTGTTCTTCTTCAAAGAAATTCCTTAAATTGTTCACAGATTTTTTTTTTTTTTTTGACAGAATATCTAATACAGAGCAGAACATGGTAGGAAATTCTATTCAAAGCATATACAGAAGCAAATTCCTACTATTAAATTGCAGCCAGATATAATGTGCCTGTTGTAGGGTGATTTTTTGTAAGTTTTTCTGACAAGATACTTCCCAAGATCTACTGCAGGGTGTCAGCCATGCAGGATCTGCCCCCGCCACTTCTCTTTTCTACCTTAGTCACAGCAGTGGACTTGTTTGGCTACTAATAGTTGTTCCCATAGAGAGATTGGAAAGTGGGAGACCCTAAGGGGGCCTCTGGTATCACCTGCAGCAATCTGCCACCTGCCACACACAGCAGGAATTCAGAAGATGACAGCTCATCACGGCAGATGGCAGACCTCACGATTCTGAAACTGGGAGATTGCGCTTGGGAAAAGCAGGGTGACAGACAGACACCATGTTACCAAAACCAGAGTCTTTCACAGTGTTCACACAGGCCCCAAAGAAAGCTGGTCTCCTCAAAAAAAGATACACAGGACAAATCAGGCAGGTTGTCCAGACAAGAGGAAGAGAGTGCGTGTTATGGGAAATTCTTACTTTTCATTCCGTTACTGACTACAAGAGATCGTACAGAGGAATAAAATGATCAGAACATTAGAGGAACACCACTTTTCTAACAAGTGCTGGGGTGTTTATGCGGGCCTGAAAAGAACTTTCCTCTCTCACTACTGCCACCTAGAGAGATGGGACCTCCTCCTGATGGAAGGAGATGCAAAGTCCTGAGTTACCTGCCCGGTCCCAGTAAGGTAAGTCATAGGTGCCTTCAGTTTTTTTCTTTCTGGAAAAATACAGAAACAACACATTAGTAAATAGAGTAAAGTCGCTAGTAAGACAGCTCTGAATCTGCAGGATAAACACTGAAGTTAATAATTAGTCAGGAGTACACATTTCAATTTGCTAATCTACTTGGGGGGATCCTCTATTTCATTTGCCTTTCCAAGACACCACTGCTGAAGCTCATCAATTCTGGATTTTCAATAAATTTTAAACAACTATCTCCTGAGACAGTTATTTTGTTACCCAAGGTATTATCCACTCAAGGGACGAACCAATAGGAAAAGCTGAGTCTGCAGATAAAAAGAATCAACCCAAAGACTTCGGGATGACATGTGGGTTGTTATGAGAACATTATGTTAGGTCTATTTTGGTTTCCAATACAAACTTGGCAAATCAACTGGTTCACAAAATTCCTAGAAAGAAACATCCCCACATTTGTTTCTAAATTGTTATTTTTTCCAACTATCTATTTTCCTGCCATGGTCCTTTGTCCATAAGTTTATGGTGTCATATGCCCTTAACTGCACGCAGTTAATTCCCACAAGCATCCGAGTGTAGGTCAGTGCTACCCTTTAACAGTGATAAGTGCCAAAGGGAGAAGAGGATGCCCTAGGCCTGGGGGTGCAGAAGCCACATTTTCAATGAAGAAGATTCTCCCTAGTTCCCACTTCAGAATTCGGACATATCTTCCCCAGGAGAAATCTCCCTCCTCCCCTTTAAGAGTTACTATCTACAAAGAGTCTTAAAAGGAAGTGTTCTGATTCAAGAATGTAAATCTAATTAAAATTAATGCCTTGCAAGCTAAAGAAAAAGCAGAAATTATTCTAGTGTATAAATGAGGACAAGATGGTTACGTGATTTGCTCAAGACACAAATGTGGTTTTCCCAAAGAGCCCAAGCTCTGTGCTTTTCTTACTTGAAAACATTCTTCTCCAGGATAAGACTTTATTTGTATCATAGACGTTAAAATCTTCCTCACTTTAAATTCTGGCTATATTTGAAATGTCATTTTTTCAAAATATAATGTAAAATTTGTGGAAGGGGTGGTAGGTGCTGAAGCTGTTAATTAAAAGCTGGAGTGCAAAAGAAACAATAAAGGGCTAGTTTCATAATTAAGTAGTTTTCTTCTTAAAAATCCTATAATTATCCTAAAGCTTAAAAGTAAAAGGAAACTAATAATCTTTTCTAAATGGAAGTCAGATACCTTACATAACTAAGACAACAAATTAATAGTCTGATTACTAGCCAAAGGTTGTGCTAGGAAAGATTTTATATAATCTAAAGCGGCAAAGCTTCAGGTTACTTATTACATGTTAAGTGCTTAGAACAGGGGTGCTTAGCATGAGTTAAAGGTTCAGTAGGCTGCAGCTGAGTTTAATATTATTTTCCTCCTGGCTATTTTCCACATCCCCTTCATGCATCTTTTTTACTCCTCATGAAGTCAGTCATTAGCAACTGCAACCACATTCTTAGAAATAACTTCAGTTCTGTAGCTCAGACCTTTTGTCTGAACAAGCATCTGTCTCTTGAGAATATAAACATGCAAAGCGTCCTTTAAGTGCCCGCCCAAACTGATCTCAGGACTTAACTGCCGCCTCTCCCCCACAACCTGACTCCCAGTCCTTGCCCTCTGTGCTTTAACCCCTGTGGACAGAACCTGAGTGCCTGACTGATTATATGCCCAGGGGCAGTGGTGGTTCAGAGCGTGGGCTCTGTGATGCCGGGGCCCAGACTCGACTCTGCTGCATATGCACTGGGTAACCTTGGACAAGTCATTCATGCTCTGTCTCACTTTCTTCTTCTGTAAAATGGGATTTATAACAGTACCTGCTTCAGAGGTTGTTTTGAGGATGCAAGGAGTTATAACATGTAAAGCACCTAAAATAGTGCCTAAAACCAGTTTAGTTTTCTATAAAAGCTGTTGCTGCTGTTCTCACAGTTACTGTTGCCTCTGGCAGGTCCCACTGTGAACGTTCTTCCCTGGACTTTCCTAGGGCCCTTGCTCCTCCTTTCCCTAATGCCCTCATAATAACTTTTGGGCTCTGCTCAAACAGCCTTCTTCTTTTTTTTTAATGTTTTATTTATTTCTGAGAGAGAGAGAGAGAGAGAGAGACACACACAGAATCCGAAGCAGGCTCCAGGCTCCACGCTGTCAGCACAGCCTGATGCAGGACTCAAACCCACTGACCGTGAGATCAGGACCTGAGCTGAAGTTGGACACTTGACTGACTGAGCCACCCAGGCCCCCCTCAAACATCCTTCTTAAAACCATGAATCCAGGACCCACCTGCTTCTTCAACTTCCTCCCATGGCATACACTGTGTAGTCAGTACCATCGCTGACCATTTCTGCATCACATCTTCTCTATCCTGTAAACTCTGGGGCTCACCACTGGACTCCCAGCGGCCAATACTTAGCACAAGGTAAGAGCACAAATATTTGCTGAATGAACAGATGAAGTCATTCTCTTGCTCCCTCCAGCTGTCATCTCCACTCATGACAACTCTACTGGCCTAACTGCACAAGCCTCAAACTTCAGATCATCCGGAATCCCTCCTCCTTCCTTAGCAGACAGCCAGTCGCGCATCATCTGATAACCTCACTTATCTGCTCCACCCTCCTCAATGAGATCCCCATGTACAGCATGAAACCTGAATTTGTCTCCCCGAAGCTCCCCTCCCCAACCCAGGCCAGGCTGCCCATACACAGTTCTTCCTTGGTGCTCCTCCACGCCAGGCCTGCACGTCAGGACTTGCTATCTTGCCTAGATTCCACATCTCTGTGCCTTCGCTCAAGCACACAGTCTGGGCTGTTCCCTACCTTCTTCCATCTGGGCATACGCAGCTGTGTCTTTACGGCAAAACAAACATAAGGATTCCTCTTTGCTGCAGAGAACGTTTCGGGTAGCCCTCACGGTTCTCATACCTGTGTTTCCCGGCCCTTCATAATAACTCCTCAAGCCATGTGATAATTCCTTATTTTGTGAGTCAACCCTGCCAAACACCTGGGACATAGGAACGGTGTCTCTTTCTTTCATGAGATACTACTCGGCACCTATTACGTGTCAGACTGTTCTTATTCATGTGTGTGTTCCAGCAGGTAAAGCAGATTTTGATATAATAAAGGTACTCAGTAAATGACTGTGCAACTGAACATACTCCTTTTTTATGAAAAGGAGAAACAAATGTACTTTTACTTCAATAACTACCTTAGCTTTCCTTCTCAAAAAGGTGAATGGTAGCTGATCTTCTAGGTTTAGTTTATACTTCACATTTGGAACAGCCCTCCTCGGCCCCGCAGGGAGCCCGCCGCGTACTGACCTGCTCCTGCAGTGCCAGGCGCACACCACCGCGAGGACCAGGGTGCTGAGCCCCATGACGAGCACTGGCACGAGGACCGCGGCCAAGGCGACGTCTGCAAACACACCACAGATGGAGTCAGGACGGGACCGCGGGCAGGTCAAAGCTTTCGTGCCTCAAAAACTACCATTCACAATATTTAAGAAGTGAGGCAAGCGTTGGTGATGGCGGAAGCCTTCACTCACACTATTTGCTTCACCTTTGTATACACTTAAAATTTTTGACAGTGACTTTTGAAATCACCAAGACAAACTGAAAGACCAATGAAAAACTCAGGAATATATTTCTGAATATGTGATAGAGGGTTACTATCGTTTATATATTACAGAACTTACAAGTCAAAATCAAACAACAGAAAAATCAGAGATGAATGAGCAATACAATGAAAAACACAAGTGACTACTCAGTGTGTTAGCCTCACTCGTAACCACAGAATCAAAAGTTAAAACAAGAATGAGATGCTATTTCTGTTTATCGAATTGGCAAATATTTGTAAGAATAATTGCTAAGAAAGGTTATGAGGAAAGGATGATTTCTTTGGAACTTTAAATTGATACTTTCTGTATCATTTGGGGGGAATATGTATAAAAATCAATTACTTAGCAACTCCATGTCTAGAATTTATTCTTAGTAAAAAAGTTAAGACAACATTCAAAGATGCATTTTAAAGGAGGTCTGTCTCTGTATCTGTAAAAGAGTGAAAGCTGGAAATAATCCAAATGTTCAACATGAAAGGGAATAAATACATCATGGTGTCCTTCTCATAGTAAAATATTATCCAGCAATTGAAAATGATATTGCAACATGATGGGGAAAATATTTATAGACAGGGGAAGGCAACATTAGTGTTAAGTATAAAAAAGCCAATGTGTTTCAAAAGGGTAGAAATCAACAATGCTTGAGCCTGAAGGGACCAGGAGATCATTTAATCCCCTTATCTCCCTTCACAAATAAGGAACTCTGGGTTCAGATCCAAAAAATGGTCTGCCTCAGGTCAGTTGAGCCATCAGTTTCTTCCCTAATCTGGCAACCCCGTCCCGGCAATGAGGATAAGAGCAGCAGCTGCTGATGCCTGTTGGGGGCTAAGCGCCAGACACTATGTTGAGACTGACCCATAGCATCTTATGTACTCTTATGAAATATACCCAAAAGAGAAAAAGAGGCTGCTAATACAGGAGAGGAGAGGATAATCTATAGCCTGAGGTCTCTAAGGGCTGGGTTGATAGGAACATGGATAGGTGGATACAATCAGCCCTGGGCAGGACTAGGAACTCCTTTCTTCAACAGAGCGGACAGAGGGTACAGGTGAGTGTGCAGGCTCCACAGGCAGGGAGTTTCCTTCTAATCACTTCTACTTTCCTTGTAAAGTTGAAGAGGTAACTGGGAGTAACTAAAGAATCTCTGGGTTAGGGGTTTGAAAATTATGGAGGAGTGACTGTTGAGGACACAAAGAAAGCTAACCAGAGAAACAAAATGATCGCTGGCTGGAGGGCCCCCCTGAGGAAGGATTCAGGAAGTGACAGGGGCACAAATGTGATCATGATATGATTTTCTCCAGCATCACTCTCAGCCTGGATGTAAAAATGGAAAAGAAGTGCATAAAACAGGAATCATGGCTCAGGCTAGAAAGCACTAAGAATTCAGAAAAATAAATGTGCTTTATCCCTAAAGTAATTGGAGAGAGAGCCGTCAGGTTCAAGTGGATATAGTTCAATTTAATCCGAGGTTTAAAAAATATGCTTAGGTTCAAAAAAATAGTAAAACATCTACACAATACCATCTCAGAGAAAAGGAGACAAGAAATCTTTAACCTCCATACTCTTTTATTCTTTTGAAAAATCCTAGCTCTGGAAGAAAATGCTTTAAGGACACTTTTAGTCTTGAGATTTTAAGATTCTATAATCAGATTTTAAGATGAGCAATCCATCCAGGCATGTGGCTTGGAATTCTGCCCAAAGAGATGTCTTCTGCAAACTGGGAAGAGGTTCTGTGGGACACTCAGACCTCATCTCTAAGAAGTCTTGCTTCTCTTTAGCTTTTCCAGCAACATGAGAAAGAACATGGACTATTTAGAAAAAACCTTAGAAGAACTGAAAGAAAGTGACCTGTGGAAAGCTGGGAGAAAGTTAGCTGCATTGGGCACATTTTCAGAAAATGAGAATGAATAAAGTTCTGTGTGGCACAAATTAGTTGGAAGGAATTACTTCCTCTTCTCTTCATGGTCCTGAAAACGCTTTATCTGCCAAAACTGAAATTAATTCCTCTGACACTGATGGGTTTTTTCTGAATTCAACTGAAATTTTGTTTTTCAACAACTACTAAAATCAAAGTACTGTTTCATACATGTTAATACCTTATTTATCATTAGTAAAATCTGAAAGTAAATCCTACATTTATAAGCTGAAAAAACTATGATTGAAAACATTTTCAAAACAAAGACCAGAGTTTTTTTAATGAACATGTTAACTCAGAGTACTTTTTAAAAAGCATTAGTCACCAAGACTTATCTTTCATCCCCCTTTTCACCACCAAATTCCCTCTCCAACAAATTAATATTTAAGGAGAGGGAAAAAATTGTGTTTCCTACAATGGTTTTAGTTATTTCTAGAAATAGAGACATCTTGTGTTTGGCTGTGGTGGGGAGAAATATTACAAGAGAAGATTTAGAATACAGTAGCCATCTTTAAATCCTTAGAGAACCATTCTACACAGCGCTGGAGAAATCAGAGCAACGCAATCAAGTCTCTTCTCTAAGGTAAGGAGTAAACGTTTTCACTATTCTTAAAAAACAGTTAAGAAGATGGGGCGCCTGGGTGGCTCAGTTGGTTAAATGTCCGACTTCGGCTCAGGTCATGATCTCACGGTTCGTGGGTTCGAGGCCCACGTGGGGCTCTGTGCTGACAGCTATCTCAGAGTCTGGGGCCTGTTTCAGATTCTGTGTCTTCCTCTCTCTCTGACCCTCCCCTGCTCAATCTGTCTCTCTCTCAGAAATAAATAAAAATTTTAAAACATTAAAAAAAACAGTTAAGAGGAAAAGAAGCAAAGGGTTTAAAAGCTGGACATGTTTCTGAAAATCGAAGTTAACAAAATAAAATGCTACCACGTAACGGGTGCTAATCTGGGGGCCTGCATACCTTTGGTTACACTCGGAGTCACAGTGGTGTTTCGGATATCAGGAGTGGCAGTTGTTTGCTCTGTCTGTGCAGGAAACTCATTCCTACTGCGCGGCTGTAATGGCTGAGTAAATTTGGGGGCTCGACCTTGAAAAAAGTGTCAAAAACTCTTTATTTTTTTATATATGTCAACTTGATTAAAACAAACTTCTTTTATAAGGCTTTTAGTATATTTTTGGAAAATTATACTACAAATCCAGAGACCACCATATTCTCACATGTAATGCAGGCATACCTTTGGCTATTTTGGGGGAGGCTGTAGTGTTTCTGAAGTCATTGCTGTTCCGAGGAGGTGGAGTTTGAGTAAGTTTTGGAGGACGACCTTGAAAAATGGTTTAGACAAGTTTATACATTTCACTTATGAGAGTCATAGTTAAAAACAATACTTTAAATGTCTTCAACATTTCCTAGAGTACTTATCTCTGCTCAGTAATTTTAAATCTCAGAGAGTAATATGTAAGAAGGATAAATATACCATACATTAAATGTACTAACTTACTGGGATTTCTCACTTTTTCAGATAATTACATTATCTTAAAATAATTTTCTTAGGGAGGAGTAAACTGAAGAGACGGATGATTTTTAAAGCTACAGAAATATCATCACAGTTTAACAGACTACTCATTCAAGTCACTTAAGAAATGTTTGTGGAGGAACCAATTGCGTGGGGGCATTCTGGTAGGTTCTGAAGATACAATAGTAAACATGGTATTAAAATATTATGTAATAGTGAGGGAAGTCATTTCCACTTTTAATTTTATCAGAGTAAAAGGCATTTGGACTAAGCTGCCTGTTATAATCATCAGTGTTTGTGATACAGTAATATGCTACATGGGACTAATTAACCTAATTAAAAACTTATTGAGACTATACTTGAAAAAAAAATCTCATTACATTATCTCATCAATGATATTCTCTCTTCTTCCACTTGTAACCCTGGAAACCATTCTGATAACTAACTTCTTAATAGGATAATTATTTCTTTTTAAAATCTCTTTAAGAAGATATGAAATTAAAAGTTAAACACTCACCTTGTCATTTCTTATTTTCTCTGAGAACAGCAAAGCCATTTTAAATTAATCCAGTGAAAGTAACATATCTTAAACATGCTATTGCTTTACCTTTAGGAATAAACTGGCAACCAAGCAGTTCCATTTTCATGGCAATTTTCTGCTGCCATTGGGTAGGATTCACTCTAATAAAACGTGCAATAATTGGTGGCAAAAAGTTATTACGCACATCCTGGTGATAATCTTTGTTTCCTTGAAATATCTATAAAAAACAACAAAAAATTGGTACTTTATATCAGAAGAGGTCAGGGCTAAATTATTCCACTGAAACATGTTTTTGTTTTTTTGCCCTGGGCCTTAAATGAGATCTGTAAAGTATAACAGTAAGAATTAATTTCTCAGAAGATAAATGAATCATAATTTGGACAAACTTAAGAAACTGCACATTCTTCATCAAAAACTTATAAAACTATTGAATACGAAAATGATTTTAAGATGATTTAAACATAACAAAATGCTAACTTGGCAATTTGGGAAGAAGGTTTCAATTTCAGTGAGATAGTATAATTCAATTAATAAATCAGTAATTCCAGTGTAATTACCAACTCCTTAAATATATCAATTTTCTTTTCAAAGTAAAGTGTAATTGATCATACAATGTCTTAGATGAAATGCTTTACTGTATGCTTTTCATAATTTTTCTTTAAAAAAGACAGAAAGTGAACATACACGAAGGTGTACATAACAGTTATATACCTCCACCTACTGGATAAACCACATAAAGACACTTCCCACATTAACCACTTTCATTCTGTGCTGCTATCTGAACCAGAAAAGTAATTCTGAAGCACTGTTCCCTGCCTAATATAATGATCTTAGGTGGACAAAAACAAAAGTATGTATTATATGAATGGTTTTTAGATAAAAATACTATTTCAACTGACTACCCCATTCCCTCAACCATTTCAAGAAAATAATGTTAGTATGGAACATTGGAAGAGCTATTATTTACAAAGTATTTTCATATAATTAACTCTGATGTTCTTCATGACAACCCTATGAAAGAGGCAGAACTCAGAAAGCTGCAGCTCATAGAATGTAAAGGGATTCCATAACCAGTCAATGATACGAGCAGTGACTTGAGTCCCTGTCTTCTGACTTAATTACAGGGCTCTACTAAGCAAAAAGTCCTTGCTCCTTCAAGCTAAATCCCCTGGCTAGTTTCTAAAGACTATTAATAAGTTGGTATCTGCCTAAAATCAAAGTCGTTTCTATTTTATCAGTTACTGTTACAGCAAGTAAATAAATGTTTAGCTCTTCCATCAAGTCATGTCCAAATATTATAGCTATTTTCTTGTGGCTGATTCACAGAGCATTAGATTGTAAACTTCTAAGATGTGTTAATAGCCTTCATTTTCTACAAGGTTTGAAGTTGTGTCTCCAAATTAGCATACGGAGACAGTTTCTTTGCATGTAACTGAAGATTTAAGGGGAAACTCCTGATAGATCCTAGAAGTCTGTCTCTACAGTTCTCTTCTCTCATTTATTTCCTCAGAAATAAAATGAAGGCAATTATTTGTCATCTATCATGTTAGTGGAACAGGAACAATACTCATTTTAAGACATAAAACAAAACTGAGATCTTACTCCACACTGCGGTTTCATTTTTATAAAAAAACCTTAAAGGGGAGATTTTATAAAAACTAAGTATAAAAAGATTTGCTATTATCTTTGACCATTTATTTTAAGCTACTGTGTATAGGGAGGTCTATAAGGTGTCATGAGGATAAAAAAGGAAACGGAAGTCAAAATTGCCACTCTCAAGGAACTTAAATTTTACTGGATATTACCACACAGAAATATGGCAACTATTCAACAGCAACAAGTTACGAAGTTATATATACATTCCCACTTTCTGAAAACAAAACCAAAAGCTGTCTCAGCCTGTATGTGCTCACCACGCATGTGTGCATGCTTATTTAGAAAGGGTGTCAAAACAGAATATACCAATTACTCTGGAGTTGGAGGTAGATGAGGGAGCAGATGGGCTAATGTAAGTGAGCCAAAAGATTGGTATTTTATATAATTCAAAGGTAAAGACTTCTACTTCTATCCAGGACACTAATAGGGACTAAATTTACTTTTAAACCTAAGCATCTGAAAAATCAAGACACAATATATGAAACAATGGTTTTTAAATGCTGGACAAAAGGCAGCATAGGGCATTAATCCCTGAGAGAAGGGAAATACATGAGGTGAGCCCTTCTATTGTGCCAGTACTGCCTGGAGCGAGCCTTGGTGTCTCAGTGAATTGAGGACACAGAGCTCAGAGATGGAGAGGCCAGGACAGCTAGAATTTGCAAGACAGGATGTAGGAGAGAAGAGAACTGCAGAGACGGAGAGAGTTCTAGGATCTATAGGGAGTTTACCCTTAAGTCTTCAGTTGCATGTAAGGGAACTATCAGTGGATGGGAAAAGAATCACTGGAAAGGAGTTTGTAGGACAATTCTCAAGACTTCACAGGTTTGGGAACAGCTCACATTATCAACAGATAGTGTGGAGACCACTCACTAATAGGTGGGGGTTTTTTGGGTTGAGTCTTTGGAACACTATTGTCTCTGTAGTAGAAAAAATCATAACTAAAAGCTGTTCAGGTCCTACCTAACAAAACTAAAATGCAAACCTTAAAAAGACTAAATAATTCCCAAGTAAACTGACTGCATCCCAGAATAAAGCTAAAAATATTTAAGTAATAAAAAACACTACCACCAATGTTAATGTTCACAATGTCTGACAACCAATCAAAAATTACCAGGCATATAAATATTTTACATAATATCCATCAACATAAAAAGACCTACATGTGGGGCACCTGGGTGACGCAGTCAGTTAAGGGCGAACTCTTGATTTTGATCTCACAGTTTGAGGGATTAAGCCTCACGTCTGACTCTACACTGAGAGCCTGACACCTGCTTGGAGTTAATTCCCTCTCCCTTACACCCTCCCTGCTTGATCACGCCTCCTCCTCCCACCCCAAAAAAATACGAACTTAAAAAAGAAAAAGACCCACATGTGACACATAGTAGACAGAATTAGCAGATAAGGGCATTATTAAAAGAGTTATTATATACTACGTATGTTTTAGAGGTGGAAAAAAGCATGAGCATGTTCAGGAGACACTTGGAAGAAATTTTAAAATCCCAAAACTAAAAACCTAGAGGTAAAAATACAATAGATAAATACACTGGAAAGGATTAATAGATTAGATGTTGCAGAACAGATCAGTGAACCTGAAGACAAAACAATAGAATTTTCCAAACTAGGACATAGATATTAAAAAAAAAAAAAATGAGTAGAGCACCAGTGAACTGTGAGACATCTGCAAGAGTCATAATATTCATTTAATTAGAATTAGAGAGGCAACATTTTTGAGAAAAAATGGCCTATGATGCAAATTATAACCAACAGACCCAAGAAGCTCAAAAAAGCCCAAGCAGAAGAAATACAAAGACAACTACACAAAGGCACATCATAATCAAATTGCTTAAAACAGATGATAAAAGAAAAATCTTAAAAGCAACTAAGGAATAAAAAGACACACTAACTACTGAGGAACAAAGGAATTGTCACTGGAAACAATACAAACCAGAAAACAGTAGAGGGAAAAACAACATCAACCTAAAATTCTATACTTAATGAAATTATCTTTCAAAAATGAAGCAAAAAAGAAGTCTTTTTCAGAAACATAATAGTACTAGATGTTTTTATAATAGAAGCATGGATAATTCTTATAATTTCAAAAAATTAACTATACTCCACAAGTGTAATAAATGTTCTACAAATAAGTGCAGATATGTTCAGAGTAAATTAAAAAAAATAGCAAAGTTTGGGGTTATTAAGCAGAAGGAGGATAGGTATAAAGACAATACTTTTATTTACATCAATGGGTAGAGCCTCACCAAAGATGAAGGTCATGTGATACCAGAAGACAGAAGAGAGAGAAGAAGGCCTTGAATAATAACAGAAGAATTTAGATCCATATGACAGATAATAGGAAGCCCCTGGAGTTTTTGGAATAGAGAGATAAGAAAAGAGGTAACTGAAGATGATTAGCAAATCTATACATTTGACAGAGAACTGACAGCATCATATAACTCAGGGAAGTTTCACTAAAAATATTTGTGCTTATAATTTCAATTCTAGATGATAAGAAATCTACCTGCCTTGAGCACAAGGATTCTCCCAGTTACAAGATCCTTATGGTGGATCATGAGCCAGCAGATACTTCTGCCCACTCCCCACCCCTTAATATCTGCTCTGGACCATTTCTGCATTATCACTGTCTACTAACTAAAACAACAATTTCATAATTACCACAGAAGTTAAGGAAATTCTTTGGGTAGGAAAAAAATAGAAGTTTCCTAGACAAATGTTGGGGAGGGGATCTTAAAATGACCTTCTAAATCTATATCTTACACTATAATACACTTTTACCTTTAGCTTTTGTCTTTTGTCCCCCTTGCCTACAGAAAAGAAATCTGGGAACAAAATTAAGCTCTCCATCATTCTATGGATCAATATGAAAATCTCAAGAAATTACAAGTTCATTTTTAGGATTTATTTTTTATTTTTTGGTAAGTTACCACCACTTACTCAAAGCCATCTATCCATCCATCCATCCACCCATTCATTCATATAGGCTCTAGGCCCAATGTGGGGTTTGAACTCATGATCCTGAGATCGAGTCACATGCTCTATCAACTGAGTCAGCCAGGCAGTCCTCCTTTTTAGAATTTCTTCATAAAGTATCTAAACAATTGAGTTAAAAATGTAGTCAAAAAAATCAGGAAAGTACTTACCCTTATAATCATTAAAAGGGACCTAGAACCACAAAGAATTTCCTAACCATAGTTAGAAGAGTAAGGCTAATAACTAACAAACCTAAAATAACCAGAAAAGAGCAAAGGTCAAATGATAGCTAACTTTAATACCACACAGAAGAGCTCCTGTGCTTTTAGCAAAGGTCCATTTTTAAAATAAAATTGTGATAATCATCTTACCTTATCCTGCTCCACACCAGGCTCTCTGTACACCGTCCACCTCTGTCCATCATCGCTGTAGAGGATTCTGTAGGCTGACACATAGTAATTGTGCTCCACCATAGTGGTGCCAGTGGTTACAATGCCTAAGGAACACAGAATGGCTCTCATTAGTGTACACAGTCTGATCCTTGAAGTTGTTCAGCACTGAAGCAAAAACACCTAAAATGTACCATCCAAACATATTTGTCAAAAGCACATTATCGTCTCTAAGGGCTAGGTTTCGTTATAATATAGCAAATAAACCTTTGGCTTTGTTCCCTTGTAGAGATACATGAATTATGGGCCCACATAAGGAAAGGACTATTCTGTCAGCTTGTGTTCACATCACTGTAAAATATATCTCACCTACCAAGTAACAGCGACCCTCTGGGAATGAATAGATTAAAATGGTTCTTCTTATAAGAACCAAATCAAAATAAATCTTTAACAAAAATTACCTAACTCAATTCTAATTAATTATTCTGACCATTTAATAAACTGCTCCAAATAAATTTGTATTCAGCACATGCAGAATATTACTTATAGCACTTAAAATTAACTCTTTGAACATAAATTCCTTTTAATGACTATAAGAGATGTCAAGATCACTTAAGTGAAACAGTACCTTAAAAGAATCTTATTACAATGAAAAAGAAAAGTTAATAAAAATCAAATACCAACCCCCCTCCTCTGCCATGTTTTATAAAACCACCTTCAGTAATATTTTAACACCATACAATTACATTTGCAGTGACCTAATTTTCTATGAAAAATCTTTGATGTCATCACGTTTCCGAATAAAATCAGAACTAGAAATCCTTCTAGAAAAGTATGTCTCTCAACCTGTTATCTTCTTTTCTTTATTCAGATCTATCTGTAACCACTGATACTCGTCAGTGGCAAAAGCAGCCCAGGGAGGTCCAGGTTGCTTCAGCCGGGCTTTCTCAGGCTTCCAGATGTTCTCCCGGCCTGTGTGGTCGGTCCACTCCAGCACAGACGATGCTGTTATCTGAGGATCGGCAATGACCCCAGATTCCATCCCCAGTGTGCCATAACAGCCTGAAATGACAAGGACAACAATGTGGTTTCCAGATATAAATTCAAAATCTCTACAAATTTGCTCACTGGAAACTTTCTACTGCACATGTGATTAATACATACTATGATAATGATATACTATGATATGATAATGATAATTTCAAAAGTAGGCGAATGTCTGTTTCTTGTCAGGAAATGTACAGACATGTTTATTCACAAGCAACAGCCATCAGTTTAACAGCAATACGTTATCCTCTTTCTGGGACACTGTCTCCAGGCATGTGGATGACTCCCTCCCTACTGCCTTTAGGGGGCTATTTGCTCACATGTCACTTTCTCCATGAGCCCTACCCTGACTCCACTTAAAACTCCAAACCAGTCCCACCTGCATTGCCTATCCTCTTTTATTTTTCTACATTTTCTAGAATATTATAAAGAGTACACTATACATGCAGTAATTTCTTTATCCACTGTTTCCCGTCAATCTCTCAATACCAGTATTGAGGTACCAAGAAAGGAGGGTTTTGTTTATTCTGCTCACCAGAACACTGCCTGAAAAATAAAGGTGCTCATAAATATATTCTGTTGAATTAATTACTTCATCAGACATATTTTTTTAAAAAAATCACCTTTCTTAAGGAACTTCCCTTGCTTACAGGACCACTTCCCAATAATATAAAACCTCCAGTTTATTTCATTCATCATATTAGTGTGACATAAGAGAAAGTGCAAAAAACAAAAAAGCCAATTGGCATATGGCATGACAGTGTTTAAGAAATGTTAACAATTACACAAATTATAGTAAGTTACAAAGTCCATGAAAGGCTTACCACTTGTCTTAAATGTAAAAAGACTTGTAGATAAGTGTCCCCTGAAAGAGAGAAAGGTTTTCCTTGGTGACACTCATACATTGACTTCCCCCTATTTGTCTTAGTAACACTTTTTCTTTTGTTTTTATTTTACTATATAAAGAACTAAGGCTATTCTATGGCCACGTATTAGACAACTGATACTGTTCTTAGCCAAACAAGTCTCATTTCAAAGCAAAACAACTTCTGAAATCAGCATAAACAATTTTCTCTACAAGTATCATACATGAAGTGAGGAAGTATGCCCATGTAGCCTTTAAGCCCATGTACTTGTTTTATTTATCTTTCATGGAAATAAACTTATTCCTCAAACTTTTCTGTGTTATTTGCTTTTGTTGCAAGTACATTGTAACTCTCAGAGTATGAGGCTCAAGTTTCCTGGGGTAAACAGACAAAAAAAAAAAAAAAAAAAAAAACAGACAAAAAAAAAAAAAAAAAAAAAAAAAAAGCTGGCTACAAGTAAGAGAGCTTGTATTTGTTATAGGAATAAGCATAGCTCAGAACCAGTTTCAGCTACAAATGTAGCACCACATCTGGATTTCAAAGCAACAGGCAAGGGCAGAGGGGACAATGAGGGCGGGGGGCACGTAACTAGTTTGCCGAGGACTCTAAAGAACCGGGGGTGGGATAAAATCATCAGTGTATGCTCCTGACTTCAGCACAACATTCAAACCATTATTCCAAGTGGATGCAACCTGTCCTTACTGTTTTTTAAGGTATGAAAGGAAGAGAACTGACAAAAAATATTATTTCTAAAGGTAGAAGAGGGGAAAGGAATGAAAGAGTCTGCATAAAATCATCTAGAAGAAACCAGGAGAAGGAAAGGTAGCTAACTCCATATCAGGGACGGGCAAATGATAGCTCATACAGGGCCTGTTTTGTATGGCCGGTGAGCTAAGAATGGTTTCCATATGTTTAAAAAGCTTTCAATGAACGAAAAAGAGTGACAGGGCCACGTGGCCCATAAAGGCCAATATATGTGCTCGCTGGTCCTTTATGGAAGAAATCTACTGACTCCTGTATTATACCATCATGAACATGGATCATGCTCTCATCTTCTGAATGAAAACTGGCCTAGGACCTCTGAAGAGAAGCTTGTTTCAATTAGGCTTAGTATGACCTACAGGACTGAGCCCATCTAAGAGGCAAGATTTACAAAAACAGATCCCAAGTATTACATTTCTACTTAATGTTTGAACTTTTCCTGCTTTTGATGTCTAGTCTATGTTTCATAAAACAGATCACTGTGGTGACCATAAATTACACTCTTAAAATATTCTCTTTGGATGAGAGGAGGATTCATAATACTACTTCTGATTTATGTCAAAATTTAATTTATCTCAAAAGTATTTCAGTTATCTCAGTCCATCCTGGGTCACACAGGATGTAAGAAACAGTCCTTATGCCTTCCAATCTTTAAAATGAAATAAAAATTTGGCCACAGACTTTTAGACCCTTACTGTGGACATTATTTACACACTGAGGAAAGTACAAATCATCCTTCTAAATGACTGCCTTTGTGATAGTAGTGAGAGAGTAGTGAGACCTGGCTTGTACTCTTCAGTCCACTCAAGGAGCACACAAAAACAGGAGTGCTCAACCCACAGATGTGATTCCATGAACATCATTAACAGCGATGCTGCTGAGGTCTAACTAGTTACTATCCTGCCCCTGCCCAACCCGCATACTGTCATTAACGCATATACTTACACCACAGATGTGACGTTGTTGGCCAAAGAACTCTCATAATAGGGGATACCTTTACTAATTACAACACTGATTTGGCCACCCAAAATGTTGGACACTACTCCTGCGTGCACACCAGCCATGCACAATGGTGAAGACTTGAGGAAAGGAAAAATAAAAGATTAGTATTTAATTTTCTCTGGGTAATTTATAAACAAGACACACATGCTTCCTCAAGAAGTAAGTCGACCTGGGCAGTTTTCTCAGTAAATATAGGATTAGTGATGTAATAACATAGGACAGACTTGTATTACAAAAATGAAACATTACATAATACTAAAAAGAAATAATCCCTCAAAAATAAATTAAGGTTAAAGATACACAATCAGTACACATCAACCTATTCTGGAGTTTAAAAAACAATAAAGTTAAATCACAATGTTAACAGAAGTCTGTGTTACTCAGACTTACATCTCTGTATCCGTGAGGGATTGTTCCAGAAATCTCAGCAAAAGGAAGCAGACAACCAGCTGGGCAGTACTTACTGTGAAATAAAAACAAATTAAAGGGTATGCAGTGTACTTTCTGGGGGAAAAATCCAACAACGACATATTCATTTTTCGGCGCACTACCCTGAGAGAAGCACCACTTCTAAAAGGCCCTATCAGACTTCATTTCATCTATCCATAGAAAACATTTTCCCCACGTATTTACAATGATTGTATCATATTCTATCTACTGCTTTATTTTACCTCAGAATGAATGGTACACATATTTTTACTATATGATCTATTCATATTTAATATGAATTTAATAGTCACAAGCTATTCTATTTTGTGAATAAACCACAATTTATTTTACCAACCTTCTATGGATCAAATTTAAGTTGACTTAAAAATGTTTGGAATTCATTCATTTTTTCACTCCTTCACCGACCACCTACCCACACAACACATTTGCCCGAATGTCTATTATGTTGTCTGTTAAGTGCTGGGTTGTGCTAAGTACTGGGTTTACAAACATCAGACAAATAAATATGACCCTGTTTTCACTGGGTCTACGCTCCAGAAGTTGGGGGAAGGACATTAAACTGATACTTAAATGAGTAATTAATTAGATTATGATTCTGCTATGAAGAAAAGACACTCCATGAAGTAAGTAGGAAGAAGCAAACTTAGCAGAGTACAAAGTCATACAAATATTCAGTAAATTTACTATGTACCAGACAGCCTTCTGAGTACCTCAGGTAACCCACACAAGAACCCTAATGGTAGGTATCATTATCATCCTCTTTTTACAGATGAAGCAACTGAGACACAGTGTGCCAGGTTCCACGACTGGTAACTGGTGGATGGGCTCCTGAGTCTAAAGTTCTTACATGGGGCTCTGCATTGCCTCAGTCAGGAAACGGGGCTCTAAGGAAGTGAAGCCTCAGCAAAGGGAGGGAAACACACCCTCGTGGACAGGAACAGCAGGCCCATGAGGCAAGGTAGCCTGTGTGTGTCATCAATGGAAGACGACCAGTACAGGCAGAGTATAGCAGGCACTGCAAAACTAAAAGGTAACATTAGTTTGAGAGAAGACTGGAGAGGTAGCCAGATCATGAAGAAGCCTTGCGAGCCACGGTGAAGAGTCTGGAATATATTTCTAAGTATAAATGGGAAGTCAATGAAGGATTTTGACAGTTTATACACATAATCTGATTCATATTTCTGAAAAAGATTATTCTGGCTCCTAAGAAGAAAGAGACTTAAGGAACCATGAGTGGAAGCTGAAACATCGTTAGGCTGGTAGGGCCACAGTCCAGGCAAGAGAGAATGGCAGTTTGCATTTGGGTGGCGATGACAGAGCTGCGAGGAGAGGCTACGAGACACTCAGGCAGCCCTGGGTGCCACATTGGTGCCAGAGCCACCTCTGCTGACCAGGATCCCTCCATAAGTGCTGAAGAGGACACCCATCCCACACAGAACTATCCTGGAAGATAAAATAAAGGTTGTTCTTTGGGGAGTGGCAAGTTGGGGAGAGGTTAGCGACATAGCTCTTAGAAGATGGGAATAGATTTGCCAGGCAGAGAGGAGTAAAGCAATTCTAGGCAAAGGTTCGGAGAGCTCAGAGCAGTGTAAAGACTCCAGAGCCGTTTCAATATAAGTACATAAAATGAGACTAGAAAATTGGCCCAAGAACTACTTGTGAAGATTCTGAAACCAGGCTAAGGAATCTGGATGACATCTGCCATAAGAAGGCACTCTTAAAGATTTTAAAGTAGGGGAATGGTAAGACATGTATTTTAGAATGTAATTTGGCAGCAATATGAGTGTTGGAATAAAAGTCAGCAAAGGTTAATCCCAGTCAAGACGAGACAAGGAAAGAAAGCAGGGAAACAGTAGTAGAAATGCTCCCTGGGCAAGAACACTGAAGAATTCGGTCATAGCCAAAATTATTCTCTTCTCCTTTTTGAGAAAAGATAAGTAACTCCTCTAAATTCATTAGCAGTTTTGCCAGATTCTGAGAAGCAACTAGTCCTACTTTTAAAGTATATTAAGATTATACTTTTATTGTAAAGAAGATCCAAATGCTACAACTAAAGCAAAATATAAACATGGCAACTCAAGGGCTTTAAATAAGCTCTAATTTACTGAGATGTTAGAACAATGATTATGTGTCACGTGTGTGACACATACATTAATGTACTTTATCTTAAGTGTATAAAGAATAATGATGAAGCAGATGAGAATAACAATTAAGGGGAAAAAGGTTACAAATATAGTCATACCTGAACTCAGGTTCCGAAAAACTGGATGCAGTGTCTAAACAAGTAATTAGATCTAGAAAAACAAAAACAAAAAAACAGATTCAATAATACATACATTTCCTCTTACTGAAACACCAACTGTTTCCAAATCCCAAATCATACTGTTCTAAATTTTAAATCTCAACAGCTGTCAAGGCAGTACTAATAACTTTTTACACGTTTTTGTTAATCATGATTTCCTTATGATTTTAAGTATCTTGATTTCTGGGGCTCGGTCTCTGCAATATTGCTACCACATCACCTCATTGAGTCCTGTATCATATATATAGAAGTTACACAGATAAGTATAATTTATAGATATAAAATGACTTTTACAAAAGATAGCTCCTGAAAACAAAAAATTTTTCATTATTATATAACCAAAAAATTTATCCTTTGCTAGTTACACACAAGGAAAACAATGACAAAAGAGAAGTGAATTAATTTTGTGGCTCTAAGTAACTAAAATCTAGTCCATGGCCAAGACCAGCAGCACCAGCATCTTCTGGGAATTTAACAGCAATTCAAATTCTTGAACACCATCCAGACTTACAGACTCTCTGGAAGTGGAGATCCAAAAATCTGCTTTAACAAATCCTCCAGGGAAGTCTTAAGCACACTAAAGTTGAAGAAGCCCTAACCTAAATAAGACAGAGCTTCAAAAATTTAACACTTGTATCTAGAAATCAAATCTGGGCAAGAGCTAATCCGTTTCATGAAGATTTAGCTCACAGGCTGGGTAAAAGGTGCTTTTCGGTTCAAAGATGTCAGTGGTTTTTTTCTACTCATAGCACACGAGGGTAAAGTTGTCAACACAGACCACAGGTCTTTAAGTACCTGGTCCCGCCTAAGTCTTGTTTTGTACCTGTGCACAGGTTTCTTGCCATATCAGCCTTCTTTGGTTCCTTGGGCATATATTGCTCTCTCGACCTGGAATGATTTTCTATAGTCCTTTAGCCTTGCTGACTTAACTGCTGCATCCTCACAGAAACTGTTCCTCATCTTCACAAGTCAAACACCCTTAGTGCATAGTAGGCACTTAAGGCTTTCTGTTAGTTTTAATGGATAGGTGACTATTACATTTTGTCAAAGTACCATGTGTTATGTAAGAAAAATCCATTGATATAATCATAGAGCTAAAGCAACATCATTTTATGATGCCTAGTCTATGGACAGAAAAGGCTTTTAAGTCCTCACTTTTGTATCTATTGTCAGCAATCATAGCATATGGGCTAACAGGAGGTTTTCAACCAACATTTACTGAATAAAGGGATAAATAAGTTTGTGATTGTTAGCATGTTTGGCTAAGTTCAATCATGGATAGCCTGTATGGAAGAAAACTTAGATGACCCTAAGACAATCACAAAAGTAAGTGATTTACATATAAATACTTGGCCAAACAACTGCGCTGCTGAGGGTGACAACAGACTGATGAGAGAATACCCCACATGCAGGATGACGGATACAAATGTGTGTTAATTAAATGGGTACCACTGCAAGAATAGCATCCCTGATTATTCTACCTTACAATTCTGAAGAAATTATCACCCAAATGAAATCTGAAAGAACTAGAGCATGGTAACTGTTATACCAATAGAAAAGTGATATTTTGAGAGTGATTACATGGGTTAGTATCTATATGCCATAGGCACTTAAAGGATAATTAAATCTATGTTTTAGGAGTTTAAGAGAATACATGCCTAGATAGGGCTTCACTAAGACCTGGCTGAATGACTGGGAAAAGCAGATACATTTGAACTGCCTATACTCTATTCCTGGCAATCTTCACATTGCATCAATTAGAACTGATTTTCTGCTTTTCTGCTCTACCAAAAGAGTTTCTAGTTTCTAAGATTAGAGGTTCAACTTGTAAAATTAATAGCCTGGGATGCAAAGGTACCTGTGTGGTCCAGCATGGCATTCGAGCCACAGGAAGAGTGCCAGCTGGCCTCATTACCTTCAGGCCACATGCCAGAATGCTGGTCAACTATGGATATACTTGAACAGAACAGGGTTTTATTATAAATCCATGCAGCACTGAAATTCCAGATTATGCCATGTAAATGTATGTAACTCACTTAACCTTGCTTTCAAATTCCATGGAGGCTTAAAAAAGGTCCCTAGGAGGAAAACAGGAATTCAAAGTGGACAGCTATGAGGAGAGCCAAGAAGACTAAAGATAGAGAAAGGAAATCATGATTACAAATATTGAGCTTTACAACTCCACAAAGGCAAAGAAAGAAAACATCAAGTAGGTAATTAAGAAGCTTTAAAATTTGTCTTTCCTGAAAGCTTTTCCCAAGTAAACAATCTTCCAGAACTATTACGACAAGGTTTCTAGCTAATAAGAACACAGCTGAGGCAAGATGAATAGAACTCAAAAGAAACCATCTGCCTAAGAGACTACTGATAGCAATGTATAAGAAATTATAATGAATGGAACAGAAGAGTCCAGAAATAAATTCTAAATTTAAAGTCAACTGATTTTGGGATGCTAAAACAATTCAATGGGGAGGAAGAATTTGTTAAACAACAGTCTTTAATAAATGGCACTGCAAAAAGAGGATATCCACATGCAAAAGAATGAAACTCGACCCCTACCTCAGATCCCATACAAAAATTAAAGGGGATCTAAATTTAAGAGCTAGCACTATAAAACTCTAGAAGAAACTATAGGTATAAATCCTGATCTTGGATTAAGCAATGTTTTCTTAGATACGATAGCAAAAGCATTATTGTAGCCATACAAAAATACATAAATTGAATTTCATCAAAATTAAAAACTTTTGTGCTTCAAAGAATGCTATCATGAAAGAGAAAGATATTGCACACAATGGGAGAAAATATTTGCAAATATATAATCTGATAAGGACCTAGTTTCCAGAATACATAAAGAAAAAAGACAATCAACTGAATTTAAAAATGAGCAAAGCATCTGAACAGACATTACTCCAAAAAAGACCTACCAAATGGCCAATAAGCACATGAAAAGATACTTAACATCATTAACCATCAGGAAAATGCAAATCAAAGTCACAAAGAGATACCACTTTATACCCATGGGGTGTCTACAATCAAAAGGACAGATAATAGGACTTAGAGAAACTGGAACTGTAATGGACTTCCTTAGGGATTTTTAAATGGTATAGCTGCTTTAAAAAAAAAGGTTTAGCAGTTTCTTAAAAAAGAGATTTCATATGACCCAGCAATTCCACTAGTAGTATACACCCCCAAAACTGAAAACATATGTCCATACAAACACTTTCCAAACGGTCATCAACTAATGAATGAACAAAATGTGATATATCCACACAATGGAATATTATTCAGCCATGAAAGGGAATAAAGTACTCATATGCTACAAAATACACTCTGAAACATGCTAAGGGAAAGAAGCAAGTCACAAAAGACCACACCATATGATTCCATTTATAGGAAATGTCCAAAATAGGTAAATCTATAGAGAAAAAATTAGATTCGTGGTTACCTAGGACTAGAGAGGGAGAAGGTTAAGGGGTAGGGAATGGGGAATCACCACTACTGACCTATAGGATTTCTTCTGGGGTGAAGGAAATGTTCTAAAATGGACTATGGTGATGGCTGCACAACTCTGAATATACTGAAAAATCAATGAAGTACATACTGTAAGTAGGTGAACTGTATGGTATAATAAAATGATAGTAAAAACTTTAAAAGTGAGGAAAAGATGTTATTATAAAAGTAGGAACAGTTTTCCTTTATACAGAGCACATCTACATTGAGGGATAAAATAAAGCCTAGTAAAAGAGCCAAGACTGGCAGTTCATTTATTCATTCATTTGTTCACTCAACAAATATTTAGTTAAGTATGCATTATGACCAGGTGTTGTCCTAGGTACTAGAGATAAAGCAAAGAACACTGAGACAAAAATTTCTGCATATAGGGAGTGTACCTTCTGTGGGGAATAGAGAAAATAGATCTGAGTATGAAATATATATGGTATTAATAGGTGATAAATTAGGTGATTAAATTAATAGGTGATAAATGCATTAGAAAAATAAAGAAGGGCAGCTATAAAAAGTTAAGGGATTCCAATTTTAGGTTGCTGCGGTGGAGGTCAAGGAGGTTGTTTCCTGCTTTCTCCTCTAGGGTGTTGATAGTTTCCTGTCTCAAGTTCAGGTCCTTTATCCATTTTGAGTTGATTTTTGTGCATGGTGTGAGAAAATGATCTAGTTTCATTCTTCTGCATGTTGCTGTCCAGTTCTCCCAACACCATCTGTTAAAAAGGCTGTCTTTTTTCCATTGGATATTCTTTCCTGCTTTGTCAAAGATCAGTTGGCTGTATACTTTTGGGTCCACTTCTGAGTTCTCAATTCTGTTCCATTGGTCTATGTGTCTGTTTTTGTGCCAATACCATACTGTCTTGAGGATGACAGCTTTGTAGTAGAGGCTGAAGTCTGGGATGGTGATACCTCCCGTTTTGGTTTTATTTTTCAGTATTACTTTGGCTATTCGGGGTCTTTTGTGGTTCCATACAAATTTTTGGATAGTTTGTTCTAGTTTTGAGAAGTATGCTGGTGCAATTTTGATTGGAATTGCATTGAATGTGTAGAGTGCTTTAGGTAGTAATGACATCTTAACTATATTTATTCTTCCTATCCATGAGCATGGAATGTTTTTCCATTTCTTTGTGTCTTCTTCAATTTCCTTCATAAGTTTTCTATAGTTTTCATCATACAGATCTCTTGTATCCTTGGTTAGGTTTATTCCGAGGTATTTTATGGTTTTTTGTGCAATTGTGAATGGGATCAGTTTCTTGATTTCTCTTTCTGTTGCTTCATTATTGGTGTATAAAAATGCAACCGATTTCTGTACGTTGATTTTGTACCCTGCAACTTGGCTGAATTCTTGGATCAGTTCTAGTAGGCTTCTGGTGGAGTCTGTCGGGTTTTCTATGTAGAGTATCATGTCATCTGCGAAGAGTGAAAGTTTGACTTCCTCTTTGCCAATTCTGATGCCTTTGATTTCCTTTTGTTGTCTGATGGCTGATGCTA